ACGGTTCAGTTTGCTTTATCTGGACGACAGGGCGTTCATTAAGACACTGATCAAGTAAGAAAACTGATAACATAACAGACTGACTATCCATCTCCAGAAGTGAAATGGATGACTACTGACTCTACAACACATGATGGAGCAGTGACTATGTTTATGTGCCTTGATATTTATCATTGTTTAGTTTGCAGTAGCCCAACCTGGGGTGATTATTACTATCGGGTCAACAGCTGTTAGCTTTCCTGTTAGGGATTTGACTCCTTGTGGAGTCTGCACTGGGGTCTCCATCGTTTGGGGATGGGGACGGAATAAGTGCAATGAGGAGGGGGGTGGGGCTGTTCACTGTGTGTTTTTGGAGTGGATGAGTGTTTTGTCTTGTATTTAAATTTTTTATTATTTAATTTATTGTATTTATTTATTTATTTTTTCACTCTTTACTTTTTCTTATTTCATCTTTGTTTTTTGTCTTTTTTCTCCCCCCTCCTGTTTCCTCTCCCCTTTTCTTTCGCTCAGAGGTGAGGCTTCATTTTCATTCTCTTCCTGCCGCAAACACTTGATAGATGTCCACTAATACTGGAAATTCTGGCTCACATGCGAACTTTGTGAGCTGGAACATTAAAGGTATGGGGAGCCCTATAAAGAGATCTAGGGTATTTGCTCATCTGAAACGGCTCAATGTGGACATAGTGTTTCTACAAGAAACTCATATGCGCACCACAGACCAGGTTAGGCTTAAATGTCCATGGATTTCTGAGGTGTTTCACTCTAATTTCTACTCTAAGGCCAAGGAAGTTGTCATATTAATTGGTAAGTCCATTGCTTTTTATCATCACTTTTTATCTTCCAAAGTAATATCAGATGAAAATGGCAGATACGTAATAATTTCAGGTAAATTGTTGCACGACCCTGTACTATTAGTTAATATTTACATCCCAAATTTTGATGACCCACACTTTATGAATAAGCTCTTTGAGTGCCTCCCTTCATTACATAATACTCTCCTTATATTTGGAGGAGTAATACTCTCCTTAATAACATAATACTCTCCTTATATTGTACATAAGTCCTTCTCTAGAATTGATTATTTTTTCATCGAAGCCAAACTTATCTCCAAAGTGTCGATGGTTAAATATAATCCTATTGTGATTTCTGACCATGCCCCGCTTTCTTTGGATATTCAGCTTTCCCCCCAACCTCGATATTCAACACTGTGGAGGTTTAATACTCTGCTTCAGTCAGACAACAAATTTAATGCATTCATTGCAGCTTCATTTGACGATTTGACTGAAATCAATCAGAACGAGATTGAACCTCTTTCCTGTTCCCTGCTGTGGGAATCACTAAAAGCATACTTGTGGGGCCAAATAATTTCCTACTCCGCACATTTAAACAAAGTGCGTACGGCCAGACTTCAAGAGCTATCGTGTAAAATTGACGAACTAGATAGACAATTGGTCACTGGCCCCTCTTCTGCCTTATTTAAAGATCAGGTTGAATTACAGGCTGAATTTGACCTTATTACAACTGCTGATGCAGAGCGCCTTCTACTACGTTCACGCTCCGCATATTTTGAGCATGGTGATAAACCGAGCGGTCTCTTGGCCCACCAACTGAGTTATCAAGCAGCTTCACGCATAATTCCTCAAATAAAAGATTCATCTGGCATACTCCACACAGACCCTAATACCATTAACTCAATTAATTCTGCTCATTCTATTCCTCTCTGTATACGTCTGAATTTCCATCTGGGACTTCTGATATGAATGCTTTCTTGGGCAGTCTCAACTTCCCTAACATTAACCCAGATGTTGCTAAAGATCTTGACTCTCCATTAACCTTAGAGGAAATCAACCTAGCCATAAATAGCATGCAAAACAATAAACTCTTGGCCCTGATGGATTCCCAGTAGAATTTTTCAAAAGATTTTAATCTAAACGGTCCCCTTTATTGTACTCTGTATATAGGGAATCTCTGCAGAATGGCTCTCTTCCTCCCACTTTGCGACATGTCTCTATAAATCTGCTTTTAAAGAAAGACAAAGATTCGAATATCTGCAGCTCTTACAGACACCTCTCTTTGATAAATGTGGATGCTAAGATTGTTGCTAAGGCTTTGGCTAGTTGTTTGGAAAGAATTTTTCCAGTCATAGTTTCAGAAGAACAAACTGGATTTATAATAAATAATAATTTTACAATGTCAGCACCCTTTTGAACATTATCTTCTACAAATGCTCTACTACAGCCCCTGAAGTGATAAAAAAAAAAAAAAGCATTCGACAGGGTTGAATGGGACTACCTGCTTACAGTATTACTTAAATTTGGATTGGGTGATACATTTATTTCTTGGATACGCCTTCTGTATATATCCCCGCAAGCTAGTATCTCCACCAATGGTATTCAATCAACTTATTTTACTTTCTCCCGTGGCACTCGACAGGGTTGTCCCTTGTCTCCTTTACTGTTTGCATTAGGTATAGAGCCCTTGCCAATTTATCTGAGGTCCTCCCTCTCTTTCACTGGGATATCACGTTTGGACATGGAATTTAAACTTTCTCTTTATGCAGATGATTTAATACTGTATGTTTCCAACCCAAGTCACTCTTTACCTGGAACTCTCTCTTTTCTCCAGAGATTTGGTTCATTTTCAGGTTATAAAGTTAACATTTCCAAGAGTGAGTGCTACCTGGTTAATACTTTGGCATTACAAATTAATCAATCTGATATCCCCTTCAGAATGAGCCCCTCTGGCTTTAAGTATTTAGGAATTAACCTAACCAGAACTCTGACTTCACTTTTCTCTGCTAACTTCTCCCCGTTGATGTCTGAAATCAAAACTGACCTTCAACGATGGAGGTCTTTATCTCTGTTGCTTATAGGAAGGATTAACACGGTAAAAATGAATATCCTGCCTAAGTTCTTAATCCAATGTCGTCCTCTCCAACGGCTCTGCTTACCTCACCTACTTCTACCAACTTCTTTGGCTTTACAGACAACCCTGTGGTTAGCTCAAATCTAAAAATCTGGTACCAGTTCAGGAAAAATGTTAAATTCGTCTCTGCGTCTGCCTTAGCTCCATTACTGAAAAACAAGCCTGGTGGGACGGTGCCCTTAGCAGGATCCACACAAGCGCATCTTGTGCTCGTCTCTCTTTGATACAGTTCAAGGTATTGCACAGAATTAATTTCTCCAAAACACGTCTGTCACAGATTTATCCAACTGTCATTGACAGCTGTGATAAATGTCATGCCTCTCTCTGCAACCTCACTCACATGTGCTACTCCTGCCCATTGTTATTCTCCTTCTGGCAGAAGTATTTCGATAGCATCTCAGAAATACTGTCCATTACTGTTAAACCCTCTCCCCATATTGCCATATTTGGGTATCCGGAGGATTATAACAGGTACAACTCGAACCAATTGGATCTCTTGGCGTTCACTTCCTTGTTAGCAAGACGGCGCCTTTTCCATTGGAAATCCACAAAGCCTCCCTCCAGCACTCAGCGGCTTAAGGATGTAATGTCTCTTCTAAAATTGGAAAAGATTAGGTGTGTACCTAATCTGGGTGCCAACTCTGACAAGTTTCACAGGAAGTGGCAGCCTTTCTTAACCTTTTTCAAATCTCTTCCATCTTTGCCGACTGATTGAGGGAATATCCGCCCCTCCCCCATTTTATTTATTTGAATTTGATTTAGTTTATTCATTTAATTTATTTATTTTTATTATTTTTTGTTTGGTATGTATGAATGTGTGTTCTAATCCGTATATATATATATATATCCATCCATCTTCCACTGCTTACTCCTTCTTCAGGGTCACGGGGAACCTGGAGCCTATCGCAGGGCACAATCACACACACACTCACACACCATTCATGCACTAAGGACACTTTAGACATGCCAATCAACCTACCATGCATGTCTTTGGACTGGGGGAGGAAACCGGAGTACCCGGAGGAAGCCCCCACAGCATGGGGAGAACATGCAGACTCCGCACACACATGGCCCATTGAATCAAACCCTGGATCCTGGAGGTGTGAGGCGAAAGTGATATATATATATATATATATATATATATATATATATATATATATATATATATATATATATTAACAAGATTGGCTGGTTTGTTGATGCACTGAGATATACGAAATAATCTCTAACTTTTTTTTCTCATTTTATACATGAGGGTCTCAGTGTACTGAGGTTTGTTTGTTTGTTTTCCAATGAGCCATGTCCTTCAATAATATTTTTTTTTTTTAAACAACAACTTGGTATTATATGCACCAGTTTAGCTATAATCTGGAGGTACCTTGCTTGACTTTTGAATTGTTGTTCCAAATGGGTATTCCCTTGTTACGTTGTTGTGTAGACGGGATTCTTGCAATGGTTGTTCATCAGTCACAATTTGTCTGGCGTCTTGGAAGACCAGTTGGAATGATGAATGTAATGGAGTCTCGTAGGTGGGTTGTTTGATGAGCTGGGAGATGGTTCTAGACTCACGGAGCGCACACATACCACACAACATATATTGGCTGCTGTTAACACACTACTAATAGTTAAACACAATAATCATTCTAGTACTACTATACGAATATGCCACTTTTCCACAGCAGGAACTTTCCCCAAGAACTAGGGACTTTTGGAGGTACACGGTGTGTTTTCACTGCAGGGACCAGGGTCTAAATTAAGTTTGCAAAGTCCCTACTCGGGAGGTGGAACTTTTACAAAAGCCAGGAACTTTGGGAGGTGGGACTTGGGTGTTGAACATGCTGATTGGTTGAGCACAAGCAACATTTTTTTTTTCAACCACCATTTTTAAATGTCTGTTGTGGTGTGTACAGTAACTGTTGTTTATTGAGATTCAAATCAACACAATGGAGTTACGACCCATTGAATCTCCTCCATCCATTTTGTTGTTGTACTGTCGTTATCAGATTTCAGACAATAGACTGTCCATTTTTAAAACACAAACCTTTATCCAATTTTTATTTTTTTTACATAATTCATTCTTTGACCAGGAATCAAACCCGGGACACAGTGGTGAGCGCACTGAATACTAACCACTAAACCACAAGTTTAATTGCAGCAAACTCTTTTATTACTGTTCAAAGTTTTGTGTTCCAATCCTGGGACTCATTGTTCTGGGTAATTTCAGCGGAAAAGCTAAATGAAACAATTAGTGGCAACTTAGTGGTTATAAGCATGATAGTTCCAGGGGTAAAAAAAAAAAAAAGAGGTGTTTTTTTTTTTTTTTTTTTTGTTGGGGTGTTTTATGAGGGAGAAAAATGTCTCATTCCCTTCCTGAAGTTATCAACTTTACTTGTGATGGATTTTGTCTGTTGGGTGAGCCATCTGTTCCTGCTGCTTCATTTAAACTAGCATTAAGAAGGCATGTAGTTAATCTAGGTTATGGTGACAGTACTCCAGTATTTGAGAGAGACATCTGGTTAGAAAAAGGTGTTCCCAGAGTTTACGTCTTTTATGATGTGAAATGAGCTCAAAGTCCAGTGATCCTGCACTGAGCTCCGGGGTATTGGTTTGCTTCTCACCCCGCTTATGGCATTCCACGGGGTGAATTATGGCTTTGGTATGACTACTTCAGCCAGATGCCTTCTTCCATTATTAGGCTATTAGTGTTTATCAACAGTGTCGTTTGTTTATTCACAACTCAGACTAGCTGGTACCAATCTTGACAGAAACTTGGCTTTATTGCTTGGATGGTATGAGGATATAGATTCAGGCCCCCAAGGTGAAATGTGGCTCCTTGTCCTTATTTCTCCTGTTCCTTCCTCACTGCCTGGTTTGCCCTGAGGTCTTAAACGCGCGCTGCAGAGCTTGAACTTGAACTGCAAACGTGGTGGAGCTAAAGCCACGAGTCTGTGCATCTAGTGCAGCTTAAGAACATGTTCAATTGACTATTTGATGCAAACTTGACAATGAGTATCTACAAGTGTGATTGTGGACAGGCCATGGGTACCCTTTGCAGAATCTGCTAAACATTGATAACTAAAAACAAAATCAGAAAAAATTGAAGAAGAATCATAAAAATTGCATTTTGTTTTTTATTACTGCTTCCCTGAATAAGCTTTTTTCACATAACAGATGACAACCACAAAACAAAAACAAATTTACAAATGAACCAGTTCAAAAGTTTACATAGACTTGATTCTTAACACTGTGTGTTGTTACCTGGATGATCAGTGACTCTTTTTATGTTTTGTGATAGCTGTTCCACCTAGGTAAAATTGTTGGACATGTTCAAGTCTGTCCAATAGGTAGTAAGTTGAAGGCTGTTGTATTTTCCTTTTTCCTCTTCATGCCATGAAACCTTTGCAAGCATTTTGCTACAGCTGTTGCTTCTTAACCTACCTGCTTAGTCCTAATGTTCCTTTTGTTTGGATTGAGATGTCTCAATTGGCTTTTTAAATTAAAGTCCTTGCTGAGTACAGCTCCCATTCTACCAGATTATGATTTTTTATGTTTATGATTTTAGAATGTCTTTTAAGTTAGCTATTTATGCATGCAATTTTTTTGATTCCCTAGAGCATCCTGTATGTTGTTACTCTAAAACGTTTGAATACCAGAAACACTACTCAGCAATTGTGAAAGAGGCTTGTCTGGTCTGTTTCAATTAATAATCTGATCAACAGTGCTGCTAGTACAGTCCAGAAGTGCTTACAGAATTCAGTAGTAAAGCCATCAGGACATAGTGCTTTGTTAATATTATTATTGTATATTGTATTATTGAAGATAGACACATCTATGTTGTATTTCTTATTATAATACTACAGTAAACAAAATATAAGATTATTAAAACTATTTCAAGCCATTTTTACTAATTCCAAGTTTGAAATTGTCTTGTTCTATTGGCAGATAATTATGCTAATTTTACGTTTTTATTTCTAGAAAGGAGCCAAATTACCTGCAAATAGAATAAGAAAACTTCAAGCTTGAAATAAGTAATAATGCCCAGAAATAGGTTTAATGGTCTTATATTTGGTTTATTGTATTCTTATAATAAGAAATACTAAATCAATTTATATTAAAGATATTTTCACTTGCTAAGATTACTATTTTTTGCAGGGTAGTTTTTACTGCTGTGCTCTTAATGACAGATATTTTTGTTTTTCAATTAATGAGGTTAGCTAGAAACTTTCCAGATTTATTAATATATTAAAAATGTTTCTGTCTGCATCTTTGTAGTAACTAGGTGTAAATGAGTGTGTGAATGTGGGTGTATGACCCATTCAGGGTGTGCCCCATCCCATGCCCAGTGTTCCTGGGATAGACACCAGATTCACTGTGACCCAGACCAGGATAGAGTGGTGTTGAAGAAGACTGGTATTGAAGAAGAATGAATGAATTCATGTTTTATAACCAGTAATATCACCCAGCAACCCATGAATTCGTAGATCAAGTTTACCAAAATTGTCTGATTCATTTGTGCTCCTTGCATTTGTCTAGGTTAAAACAAAAAATACAAATGTTTCTGAAATGCTGTGTGAATGCTGCAGACTCTTTTTTTAATGGCAGGCTGACTCACATCCCACATAAAATGCATAGTTTCTGTTTTTTACAGCACGAACACACATTTGTTGTATAAACAAACAGAGTGCCAAATTCAGAGGGCAATGTCAATTGCATATTTAATATTTTTCTTGTTTTTAACATGAATGGAAAAATGAACACAAGCCTTAATTACTGTGTAGCAATGTTTTCTAAATATTCAGCTTGAAATTATTCAGTTACAGTTTGTTTTGTCAAATTTGATTGACAAATGTGCACATCTACTAAAAATAAAATGTAATATTTTATTACATTTGCATGATTAACTGTCACTGTATTTAGAGTAAAATAAACTAAAACAATCAATATGAACAGAAAAGATTAGGCTAAAACTAGACTACTTAAAAACAGAGAGTAAAACCTGACAGTAATTTAACTGTCTGTGTCTGTGTGTACTCATGTGTATCAGGAAAGGAAGTTCAGTTATGGCTGTCCCTACTGCAAGGCTGTGTTTGCCACAAAAGTGCACCTGCAGAAGCACAAGCTGTGGAATCATTCTGAGAGGGTCAACATGGACAGCAAGATAGCAATGACCATGGAGCCAATGGCTGAGCCGAAAGCCAAGCTGAAAATGCAAAAAAACCCTGTAAAGAAAAATACAAAAAAGAGGTGAGAAAAGCACTATGACATCCCAACATTTCACCTTTGACGCCAGCTATTGGCATTGATTCACACAAAATTAACATTGGCTCATACAAATATCTACTCATTTAGCTTGACTTACAGAATGTATATGATTCAGGAGAGCTGCAAGAGATGATTTCTTTACTTGTGTGCCAACATTTCTCTATTTACAGGTATTTAGAGGTGTCAGTATCAGTTAGCTAAAATACAATATTTTAGAACAAATAGGTTTTGCTGTAAGAATGTATATGTAATAATAACGACTATAGACAAATTTTGAGAACAGCTAATATCTAGACAAGAATGAAATGGAGGTGAATTTTCATTAGCTGTCAAAATTTTTATTAGTTTTCACTGGTTATCAATCATAATTATCATTGAATGGGAAATGGCTCAGTTTATACAGGAAGCATTGGAAATGCAAGCAATATAGGTGCTTCACTGTAAATTTAATCAATCTAATAAAATTATGTCGCATTAGTTAATCAGTCTAATGGAATATTCCCCTTTTATGTTTGCTGTATTAATTAGAAATTAAAATGACCAACCTTTAAATAACGGTTTCTGAAAGCTTAGTTCTGCAAATCAATAACCACAACAAAGCAATAACAGTTTCAATAATATAGCATTTATTGAAATAGAAAAGAACAACCATCAGTTAACTACTTTACTATGACCCTAGTTTTACAGTATGTTGTGTATGTGTGAGCATTTTCACTGAGCTTATAAAAAATGTATTATCACAAACCACATGAGAATCTGTTTCGGAAGTTCTGTTTTATGGAAGTAATAATGTTCAACATGTGGTAATAATTAGTCATCTATGGTTATAGATGAATTATCTTAAGTAGTCTAATTATTGATGATTGTAGACCATTGGTGTAAGTATACCCTTTTCATTGGGAGCATGAGCCCCAGTAAAATTTAGCTGTGCCTAAGTAAAATTTTCCTGATGAACCATTGTCTGATGAGGTACAGTACAGTAGATATTCTTTTCTATTCATTGAACGTTATCATTTACATCATTTTAATTATTTAAAATATGAAGTCTGAGGGCGGGGGGATTTTTATAATAAATTTTTTTTTTTTTTTATTTATTTATTTATCTTATCAATGAAATATTTGGGAAAGGGAAGGGAGTGGAGAAAAGGTAAATGAATCACATGAATATGAAACACATGAAAATGAATCCTAACATTGATCCCAGCATAGCTGGGACAGGCACGCCTTTAAGATTTATTAGTTGGAATGTCAGAGGTATGGGTAATCCAGTTAAGAGATCTAAGGTTTTTACACATTTGAAACATTTGAACTCCAATATAGTATTTTTACAGGAGACGCACCTACGTATTAAAGATCATCATAGGTTACACTGCCCTTGGGTGAGTCAAGTCTTTCACTCGAATTTTAATTCGAAAGCAAGAGGGGTTGCTATTTTAATCGACAAAAGGTTACAGTTTTCGTCCACTAATGTTATTACTGATGTGAATGGTAGATATATTATAGTTGCTGGTACTTTAATGCAAAGACAGGTATTGCTGGTTAATGTATATGCTCCAAACTCTGACGATGTAGAATTTGCTAATAGATTGTTGAGCAATCTCCCTTTCTTAAATACTCACCTGTTGATTTTTGGGGGAGATTTAAATAGTGTATTTGACCCAAACTTGGATCAATCTAACCCCAGTACTCTGAATCGATCTGCAATGTCTAAAACATTCTCCGATTTTATGTGTCAGAACGGTCTCGTTGATCACTGGAGATCTCGTAACCCCTCTCTTAAAAAGTTTTCTTTCTTCTCCCAGGTTCATAATTCTTATTCGAGGATTGATTATTTTTTTTATAGACAGCACTCTAGATTCTTGCGTAGATTCTTCTGATTATTG